ACAGAGTGAGTTCCAGGACAGCCAGGACTACACAGAAAAACCCCTTCCCGAAAAACCAGTTATCTAGGGTCTAGTAAAAAGACTTCAGGAAAGCCAACCCTTGTCTATTTTCCCATGGTTTCATGGGACACTATAACACAGCATGTATCTCACAGCAATTAACAGAATAAACACTGATATACTTCAGTGGATGCTCTATCCTTACCAAGTTTCTTTTCATGAAAAAAATTTTATTTTCACATTTTGTGTTTGTGTATGTGCCTGGGCCTCTACATGCTACAACCTATGTGTGGAAGTCAGAGGGCACATTGTATGAATGTGGGTGCATGGAATTGGATTCAAATGCTCAGGCTTGTTGACAAGGACTACTCCCCGCTGGCCCACGTTGCCTACTTCATCTTTCTCACACTGGCTTGAGGCAGTGTTTGAAATTAAGCACATCCATTAAGTATACTAGTCATGCCGGGACTGCTGACATGTTTAGAACCATGACTGGAGCTCAGATACTCTGGATACAGTGTCTACGTACTTTCTTTCATTCTCCGCCCAACCCCCGTTCTCTCTAACATGGTTTAGGACATCAAAGCTCTTCAAAAATGTGGAATGCTTCATAAATTTGCATGTCATCCTTGAGCAGGGATCATATTAATATTCTAGTATCATTCTACTACACATGATGCCTGAGTGAGGACATAGTCTCTACTTTCAGTGTGTCTCACTGTGCTGCTTCTCCTTCATTCTTTGATGAAGAAGCATCCTGGGAAAACTGGCCTACAGCTAATGGTGCATTTCATAACCAGAGACTCTTATATATAATTTTCAGAACAAACAAACAAGTTGTTGAAGAACTTTATTTAATCCTCTTTCATTGATCAGTAGAATGATGTTACAGAGACATGACAGAGCTGAGGTAAGTAGCTCAGTGGTGGAGCACCTCCTCACCATGCATAAGGCCTTGGCCTTCCATCTCTGGCATGAGGAATAAGAATTTTGCAGCTGTGTTATCTTACACAGTGAGCACTCAGACCTTTGTCCTTGACTACATCAGAAGTGATTTACTATTCTCACCTAAAAACACACAGAGAGAGGGAGAGGGAGAAGGAGAGGGGGAGCGGAGGGGGGAGGGGGAGGGAGGGAGGGAAATTGAGAAGAATAGGGCCGAGAGAGGCCTAGAGAACTGTATATATCTTTTTTTTTAAAGATATATTTATTTATATTATGTATATGAGTCCACTGTAGCTATCTTCAGCCACACCAGAAGAGGGCGTTTGATTCCATTACAGATAGCTGTGAGCCACCATGTGGTTGCTGGGATTTGAACTCAGGACCTCTGGAAGAGCAGTCAGTGCTCTTAACCAATTGAGAAGAATATGGCCTAGAGAAATGTATATATCTTATTTACCAATAAAAGACATTCACACAGAAAGACTAGAGACGGGAAAAAAAGTAAAATGGTACTGATGAGCTAAGGTGTATGACATAGGACATACACTCCAGAGTCAGAGACCCTGCACAGTAACAGGTGCAGGTTAAGAGTCTGGCCAGCATATTGTCATTGGCTCTGAACTTCCCATGGGATTAAAATATGGAAAAACCCTATCAGGAAAGGAATTTACACAGAATCTGTAGATAAGAGTCCCATGGTTGGAAATATTGTAAAATGAGAGAGTGCAACCTGCATAGTCAAGGAAAACACCAACACGACAGGGTGGGACCATCAGAGACAGGGTCAAGACACTGGGCTTGCCTGTGAAAGTACACTCCTCAAAAGCATTATACACAGACTTTTTCCAAAGACCGATAACCCAGAAGCCATATTTAGGTTGATAATGTGAATCATTTCTAATACCCAAACGAAGTAAAGGATCGAGCTGTCGTTCAGCATTTGAACGAAATATTGGATTGAAGAGGTAGCTTCCATCACTTAATCCTAGAACCCAAGCACCTTTTCCAGACACATCAACTTCCCAGTAATGTTTTCCTGATTGGATAGCTGGGTATCCCAGGACGCCTTCATGACAGTTTTCATGCTCATGTGTAAAATTTCTTGCTTGGTGGTCTTCATATCGTATTTGTCTTTTGTCGGCAGTAATGGCAATGTTTGGATTGTTGTTTTGAACCAGCGTCACTTGAACTGCACAAAATGATAGGACTACACATCATGAGAAGGACAGGAAACAGGCTTATCGGTGATGTTATTAATAGAAGTCTAAGAAGGAAGCATATAGGCACTGGAGAGAACTTTGTGTAGAAGTCACAGGAGAAGCAGAACATTGAAGTAGCATTACATATTTTGGGAGAAGCAACATGAGGCCTAACAAACATAAGCTCTGCAAGACAGTGAGAAGTGGGTAGCTTACAATGCTGTAAATTTTCCTTACCCCAGTAGCGTTGGGCCTCAGTGACCTCTGAAATGGGATAAAAATTTACAACATTAAATGCAAGCAAAGGCATTGTAAAGTCCTTTTCTTCTCTGGATCAGAGAACGAACTGGAAACCATAATAGAGTCAAAGATGAACGGTCATTTCCCCTCTAAGATGGTCAAATCACCAGTAGCTGGTGTCTACTCATCCTTGTCCATTTCTAGAAACCATTAGAATCCCATAGCCACCTCATGTAGCATAGCTCTCCTCACCTTGCAACACTTGCAGCATGCCTTGCAGATCAGGGGCTCGGAACACTCTTCTTTGTTCCCTGGGGATGGTTTTGGTCTTCCTCATCAGAAAATTATGGCTCCTAGGGGTAAAATAAAACTGATCTACAATCCCTCCCAGTGACCCCAAACTACTTCTGACTTCCTCTCATTTCCATCCATAGATGAACTTGAGCTCTTCCGGGGATACTGAAGAAGTAGAGATGGCACATCACATTCTGAATACGATCATGTCTCCTTCAACTTACTTTCAGTGTAGTGTTGGGAAGGCCTTACATTCTCAGAACCATGATTCTTGCCTTCTAAAATTTAGTAGTTATTTTCTCCCACTCTGCCTCTTTGAACTCACAAGAGATGATGAAGTAATAAATCTTAAAATAAACCAAAACTAATGCCTGAAAAAAATGTGTGGAAAATATTCCCATGAATGTTAAGTATGGGAAATGTGTCTTTAAAACTCCAGTGTCTTCAAAACCTTTAGCCAATATGAATACTCACAAATAACATCTGATTTTTCATATTCTCTTGAAGAAATTCCAACCGGTGGAAAAGATGACGACAACAAACTAAGACTAACACGATCCTAGTGTTTCAGGAAAATCCTTGGTGTGGCCGGCTGAGTGTGCCCTCTGGACACAAGGATACCCTCTACCCACACTCCCATAATGTGAACATAAATGAATTTTCTCAATTAAAAATTTTGTGTACATTGCAGACATACAAGATGCATCCCATCTACCAAAAAATAAGGACCTGTTAAATCCAGATCCACAGCCACATGCAGGCACACAGGGTGAACTACAGTGGAGTTAAGAGTATTCTAATTTTTAGTTCCTAATCCAGCTACTGAGCTAAACTCTACAATTCCCCACAATCCATCTCTCTATCATAGAATCTAATCTATTCTCAATAGTTGCAATATTGCTTTTTGATCAGAAACTCAGCACTGCATCTAAATTGCCCCAACCTGGGAGGAATTATGTCCAACTTGAAAACTAAATCATTCTTACCACATAGAAAAACTGGCAGCCATACATACCGTTTTATGATGCTGTCCACGCCCTAGACAGAAACAGAGAAAACAGGAGTTAGGACTTCTCATTAAGATGGGGGGCGGGGGTGGCCGCAGGGCAGTGGTGGTACACAGCTTTAATCCCAGCACTTGGGAGGCAGAGGCAGGCGGATTTCTGAGTTCGAGGCCAGCCTGGTCTACAGAGTGAGTTCCAGGACAGCCAGAGCCTCACAACTGAAATTCTGTGAAAGAAAAGTCATGACAATACACGAGCTATTTCCTATAAGGGATAGTCTGTAAATGAGTTTATTAAGGTAGCAAACGATGACATCTAATTGAGGGGCAAAGTGATTAATCAGAGAAAGATTTGCCAGAATGAGTCAGAAATAAGATATGCCCAACTCTCATGAGCAGACAGAAAAGGGAGGCTCTTTAAGAGCAGTGCAGGAAAAGAGTCAGTTGGAAGTCAGGGCAGTTGAGTGTGGTTCTTACATATGCCTCATTACGGTTGTTTTTCTTTGTCTGTGACTTCCTCAGTTAGGCTCTGGGATGCTTGACTTTCTATACAGTCTACTTAAACACATTCTTTATAAGACATTTCACACATATCTCATGGACTTCCCTTCTTAGCCCTACATTTTTTCTCTCTTTCATTATTATGTCTCCTTTCAAAATTCTGTGATGATTTGTATATGCTCGGCCCAGGAAGTGGCACTATTAGGAGGCATGGTTTTTTTGGAATAGAAGTGGCCTTGTTGGAGTAGGTGTGGCCTTGTTGGAGTAGGTTTGTCACTGTGGGCATGGGTTTTAAGATCCTTGGCCTAGCTGCCTGGAAGCCAGTCTTCTCCTAGTAGCCTTCAACATGAAGATGTAGAACTCTCAGCTCCTCCTGCACTATGCCTGTCTGGATGCTGCCATGCTCCTGATGATAATGGACTGAGCCTCTGAACTTGTAAGCCAGCCTCAATTAAATATTGTCCTTATAAGAGTTTACTGGTGTCTTTTCACAACAGTAAAACACTAAGACACCTTCTTCTTAAATTTCATTTTTATATTGCTTTTATATCTAATTTTATTTTATGTGTATTTTGCCTACATGTATATCTGCGTACCACATGTGTATCTGTGCCCAAAGAAGTCAGAGGGTGTCATATCTCATGGAATTAGAGATGGTTGTGAGCCACTGAACCCAGGTGTCCTTAATGGCTGAGCCATTGCTCTAGACTTACTATTTTACTTCCTTTTTAAAAAAGAAAGATTTATTTATTTTATGTATATGAGTTCTCTATCAGCTTGTACGCCTGCATGTCAGAAGAGGCATCAGATCCCAGTAGAATTGGATGAGAGCCACCATTTGGTTTTTGGGAATTGAACTCAGGTCCTCTGGAAGGCCAAACTGTGCTCTTAACCACTGAGCCATCCCTCGAGCCCACTATTTTACCTCTTAGTTGTAGCATTTAGTAGCTTTAGTAATCAGAGGGTGTTTGATTCCCTAAAACTGAAGTTACTTTAAGCTGCAATGTGGGTGCTGGGAATTGAACCCAGGAATTCTGGAAGAGCAACCAATGTTCTTAATTACTTAGCCACTGCAGATGAAGAAAGCCTTAGATTATTCTATGATGGACAACATAAATATCTCTAAGTTCCTTTGTTTGCTAATGACTAATTGGAGTTAGTAAAAGGTACTTGAACCACACAGAGCTCTGTAGAGAGCTGGTGTCATAAATGCCCATGGATTCAATAGATCTCCTCCAAGGTTTAACTTCTGTGCTGTTCTTGATAAACGAATAAAAACAGAATTCCACACCTTGCTATTTGTGCATGCAGCATTTCCTCCTGCCTCTGAAACTGATTCAGAAAAGAGTTCAGGAAGAGCTCACTGTCATCACCAGGAAGATCACAGAAGCAGAGAGGGAGGACAATGGCTTCCTGTCCCCTGACTCTCAGACTCTGGATTCTCCTGCAGTCTTACCTGCAGCATTTCTGTGGCTGAGCACTGTAGCTGATGTTCCACATCTAAGATGAGGTCTCTTAGCAACTTGCTCTGCTGAGCATGCTCATTTTCAGACTCTACCAGGCTGTTGATAATGTCTTCCTTCTCTTGCATCAGCTTCTGCAATTCATTCTTCTCCTCAGAGTCCATGATATCTCTCATTCGTTTAAACTCTGACTGAACATTTTCCACTTCTTTGTGTATTTGATTCTTCAGAGATAAGAAAAGGATGAACTATTAAGTTTGTCAAAACATGTTGTGTGTGAATTGTTTTTTGTTTTGGTTATTCAAGACAGGGTTTCTCTGTGTAGCCCTGGCTGTCCTGGAACTCGCTCTGTAGATCCACCTGCATCTGCCTCCAGAGTGCTGAGACTAAAAGCATGCTCCGTCATCTCCCAGCCTTGTATGGGAATGGAGATAAGGAAAAGGAAGGAACTCTTAGGGAATCGTGTATAGCCTTTTAGTGTCTGTTAATGACATTCCAACACAGACCTCTGGTCAGCTTTATGAAGACCACCTAAACCAAAATGGAACACCAAGCTATGATACAGCTTTCATACAGCTGTCTAAGACACTTGTTTCTACTTGTAATAGTCCTCATTCCGCTTCTAAAAAAGACTTTAGTGTCAGAAAGATAGCTCAGAAGTTAGGAGCACTGGCTCCTCTTCAGGAGAACCAAGTTTCAATTCCCAGCACGATGTCTCACAACCACCTGTAAGTCTGGTTCTAAGAGATCTGATGTCCTCTTCTTATTTCCATGGGAACCACACACTTATGCTGGTGAAGACTCATATACTTAAAATAAAAATAAATAGATATTTAAAATATTTTTGATAAAAAGCACTTTCATAATATATTTATTTAAAAATGTATTTATTCTTATTCTCTCCCTCTATCCCTCTTTCTCTCCCCCTCCCTCTCTCCCTCCTTCTTTATGGGTCTATGTGTGTATGTGTGTGTTTTGCCTGTTTGCATCATGTGTGTCAGAAGAGAGAATGGGACCTCTAGAACTAGAATTATGGATGATTATGATCCATCATGTGGATGTAGGGAACCAAATTCAAGTCCTCTTCAAGAGTAATAAGTACTCTTAACTACTGAGTCATCTTTCCACTCCTCCCTTAGTTTTTATTCCTTCCTTCCTTTCCCTTCCTTCCTTCCTTCCTTCCCTCCTTCCTTCCTTCCTTCCTTCCTCTTCCTTCCTTCCTTCCTTCCTTCCTTCCTTCCTTCCTTCCTTCCTTATCTTTCTATATCTATCTATCTATCTATCTATCTATCTATCTATCTATCTATCCATCCATCCTAGACCAGGTCTTACCTTGTAGTCATAGTCAACCTAGTACTTGCTATATACACCAGACAGGCCTTTAAATCACAGATATCTGTCTGTTTCTGCATCCCAACTGCTGGGATTAAAGGCATATGCCACCATACTTGGAATGTCAGTCTGCTTTTAAATCCCTGGCCAAAGTTAAACACTGATTATATATCCATAATCTACCCATTCCCAAGTATCTTCCCCAGTAGAGTCACAGTTTCAGAAGGCACCATAAAAGTGAGACCCAGGCACCCTGACCAAGCACCCTCCATGGTGCCAGCTCCTCACAGAGCCCAGCTCAGTTGTGATACATTGACTCTGCATCTCCAGATCCAAGGGAACCAGTAGGGAGGAGTAATCAAGGCCTCTTAGCCTCATCAACTGCTGGGAAGTAAAGACCCCAGGAACTTTTGGTCCAGGTCCCTCCCTGCCATTAGGCTGACTCCCTTAGGAGAGGTCCCCACTTGCCTCCCAGTAAGTTCTCTCCTTTTGAAGGTCATCTTTCCAGTTCTCAAATTCTTTCTTGTCTGTCATTAGCTTCTGCAGAGCTGCCTGCAGCTTCTCCTGTAAGGAAGAAATTGTAGCATAGTCAAGCTGGGGGCTAAGTCAAACTGCTGTTCTATCAAAAGGCCAAGACCTTCGGGAAAGATGGAAAGTCAAGGATTGCTACCTTTCTTGAAAAGATTGTGATATGAATTATTTACATAACATTTATATACACATATAGTTTTAATCTATTATGAATAAATATATAAGAAACAGAAACCCAGGGAATGGCAACTAGAATCTAGGAGTAGGAAGAAAATAATAAGACCATCATCTACTCAAAAAGATTCCCCATCTTCTTTTAAAAAGGTAGTCTTCAAGCCATGCCAGTAGGTGGTGGTACAAGCTGTTAAGCCCAGCACTCAGGAAGCAGAAACAGGCTGATCCCTGCTTTCAAGGCCACTTGATCTACAGATCAAGCTCCAGGACAGCCAGATGGACACAGAGAAACCCTGTCTTGAAAAACAGGCAAATGAACAAACAAAACATAAGGTGGTCTCATTACGTAATGAAATCCCAGACCTGGATTCCAGGATAATTAGGTAACTGAATAATCACAGAAAGTAGAGATTTCCCACCTGGTACTGTTTCCTGCTATGTTCTCCCCTCCCTCAACCCCCATCCTTACCTTGTACTCCTGGGCCACCTCTTCAATGAGAGCTGTCTGGTGTCCACGGTGCTCCTGAGATCGCTCACAGAGCCAGCAGATGGCCATCGTGTCCTCCTTACAGAAGAGCTGGAGTTTCTCTCCATGCTTTGCACAGTTAAACACCTTCTGCTCCTCTTCTGGGCTGGACTTGAACTCTTTGAGCCTCTCTACTATGTTGGCCACATGTCGATTAGGCCTCAGATTCTTAAACAGGTAACTAACTCGGCAAACAGGGCAAACGAACTCTTCCTTATTGCATTTGCTGGATTGATAGTTCAGTGTGATGCAGGCTTGGCAGAAGCTGTGACCACAATCTGCACTCACGGGTTGCACCATTAGCTCCAGACAGATAGGACAGGTCACCTCCTCCTTTAAATTCATCACGAACTCTGAAGCCATAGTTGCTGTGATCCTGTGTCTGACTTTCCTGACTCCTCACTCTTCTGCTCAGGTGTCTATGTAATTGGGATGGTGAAAGGGAGCCAAGTAAGAAATGGAGGGTCACTCCATTTTCCAGCTTCTTCTCCACCTCCATCAGACTCCTGAACCATACAGGTAAGCTCCCCTTCCCCCAGCCATCTTTCTTGTTCTCTGAGCCCTCCTAGCCCAAGGAGACCTCCATTCTCCTCCCCCCTCTCAGCCCACCCACCTTCACCTGATGCTCCTGAACTATACAGAACTGCAGGTTTAGAACTATACAGCCCAAGTATATCTACCAGAGACCTGACACACCGAGAGCATTGAGGTTGACCCCCCACCCCAATACCTACTACAAGAACACTCAGGGACCAAAACCATCCAGATGGCTAAAGGCCCTGGAAAGAACACAATCAATAAGAGTCAGGGCAATATGATACCTCCAAAGCACAGCTATCCACTACAGCAGACCCTGGATAGCCTAACACAACAGAAACAGAAGAAAATGACTTTAAATTCAATCTTATAAAGATGATAGAGGCCTTTAACGAGGAAATGGATAAATCCCTTAAAGAAACACAGGAAAATGCAATTAATCAGATAGAGGTCTTTAAAAAGAAAACAAATAAATCTCTTAAAGACATATAGGAAAATCAATTAAACAGGTGAAGGAAATAAATATAACTGTGCAAGACCTGAAAATGGAAATAGAAGCAATAAAGGAAACACAAGCTGAGGAAATCCATAAGATGGAAAATCTAGGGACGAGAACAGAAACAACAGATGCAAGCATCACCAAAAGAATATAAGAGATGGAAGACAGAATCTCAGGTGTAGAAGATACAACAGAAAAAATCGATGCATCAGTCAAAGAAAATGTGAAAGCTAAAACATTCCTGACATAAAACATCTAGGAAATCTGGGACACCATGACAAGACCTAATCTAAGAATAATAGGAATAGAGGAAGGCGAAGAGTCCCAGCTCCAAGGCCCAGAAAATAATCTCAACAAAATCATAGAAGAAAACTTTCCAAACCTAAAGAAAGAGCTGGTTATAAACATACAAGAAGCTTAGAGAATGCCAACTAGACTGGACCAGGAAAGAAAATCCTCCTGGCACATAATAATCAAAACACAAAATCTACAGAATAAAGAAAGAATATTAATAGTGACAGGAGCATGTTGTCTACTTAGAGGCTCCACCCAGCAGCTGACTCAGACAGATACAGACACCCACAGCCGAACAGTGGATAGAGCTTGGGGGGCTCTTATGGAAGAATAGGAGAAAGGATTGCTGGCCCTGAAGAGGATAGGAAATCCACAGGAAGACCAATAGAGTCAACTAACCTGGACCCTTAGGCTCTGAGTCTGAAACACCAACCAAAGAACATACACTGGATAGACCTAGATCTCCTTGTTCATATATAGCAGATGTGCAGCTTGACCTTCAAGTAGGTCTTGAACAACTGGAACGGGGGCTATCCCAAAAACTGTTGTTCTACTAGCTGAGCTGCCTTGTCTGGCCTCAGTGGGAGAGTAAGGGTGGTGACAAGTGAGTGTCTACGGCCCACCTATGCCATGCACTGGAGGGCAGGTCTGTGGGTGGCCTGGTGGTCCATAGGTCTCTGTCTTCCTTTACTTCTCCACTGAGTGGTGGTAGGTGGGGCTCTGTGTGTCTATGGCCCGCCTGTGCTTTGGGAAGAAGTGTAGGTCTTTGCACTTGTGGCATGGGGGAGCACAAGTCTACATCTTCCTCCTCTCATGCTGCACTGCCTGGATTTGATTTGATTTTTTTTTTGGGGGGGTGACAGGTATAAAACAGCTTTGGCCACCAAGCCAGGTATCAAGCTAGGATGAACAAATAAATAACTGCCATCCACGCTGCCCTTGACTGAGAGATTGATATAAGAACCAACACCACCAAGGTGTCTCTTTGTCAATCCATTGCCAGGGGTTGCGGGGGGAATACTCTACATTCAGTGAGCTGTATGGATGTCGTCCTTGGCAATGGTGCCTGCAGTATCTGTTTGTGGAGAATAGCCCTCTGCCCTAGCATCAGCCTGAACTGTTCAGGAAATTTCCCCAGGATCCTGTTGGCCATCAACTCAACTCAACTGAATGAAGTCGAGACCATCGTGAAGTCTTGCCTGACTACAAAAGACGGCCAGTTCAGACTCTGTATCCTTTATTATTGTGAGTCCTCACTAGGGTTGCCCTCATAGATTCCAGGAAGTTTCCATACCACTCCCCAAAGGCCCTCTAATTCCAACTGACTATCCCTGTACTGTCTTTCTCCATCCCTTCCCTCCAACCTGATCCCTCTTATCCCTCTTATCCCTACCAGTCCCTTGTCTACCAGCAAATTCTATATTATTTCCCCTTCCAGGGATACACATGTGTAACCCCTAGAGAACCCTTCTCTGTATCTAACCTTCCTGGGTCTCTGGATTGGATTATCATTGACTTAATAGCTAATATCCAAGAAGAAATGATTACATACCATACTTATCTTTCTGGGTCTGTATTACCTCACTCAGGATGATATTTTTTTTCTAACTGCATCAATTTACCTGCAAATTTCATGATGCCATTTTAAAAACATCCAAGGAATACTGGATTGTATAAACGTACACTTTCTTTAATCATTTTTTTGTTGAGTGACATCTAGGTTGTTTTCAGTTTCTTGCTATTATGAATAAAGCTGCAACATACATAGTTAAGCAAGTGTCCTTGTGGGATGGTGGAGCTTCCTTTGGGTACATGCCCAAGAGTGGTTTAGCTGGGTCTTGAGGTAGATCAATTCTCAGTTTTCTAAGGAACTACCATATTAATTTTCATAGTGGTTATACAAGTTTAAAACCCCCACCTACAATGGGGGAATTTTTCTCTTGTTCCACGTCCTTACCAGTATGACATGTCACTTGTGTTATTTTCTATTTAACAATTAAGTCAATTTATTTAAACAGTTGACTTAGGCATCTGCAATGGTGACTTCAACCTCCACTCTGGGCTCAATATGGATGGAAGTAATCTGCTTAACAATCTCAGAAGGACTATGTAAAACAATGTGTAGCTTATGGATCCTCTTCTGGAAACGATCCTATGTCTTGGAACCTTCAACACAGGTGTTTTTCTGGTAGTGATTCTCAATGTCTTGGTAGGCATGCGCACCGGTCCTTTCACTTTCAGATTCTTTTCCTTTGCGCCTCTGATCAAACCCACACAAACCTTCTCCAGTTGTTGGTATCAGCTCCGACCCCAGTGACATCACATCTAGGCCCCCACATCATTGCCAAGACAACCGCCATACACTCCCAGAGTCCACCTGGCTACCTCACCTTTACCTGGGAAAGACTACATCACCACCCATATAAAACAGGCAGAACCCCCTGACCTCGATCTCTTCCTCTCTTTCTTTTCCCCCCACCTTTGCCCTATTCCTGAATAAATTTCCCCTCCCCAGCCCGGAATCATTTGGTCTGGTGTTATCTGTTCGAAGCTGGGCCCAGACGTCTAACACAAGTGTGTTGGGCCGAGACCGAAGACTTCGGGATCCGCAGCCAGCCGTGTAGCTGCTGCTGGCTGTCACAGGTGCTGGCTGCTGTGGCCATGTAGGACCGATGCCACATGGCCTGCTGCTATACCACATGGACTCCATCCGCTGCTGTGTGAATTTCCACCACTGCTGCAGACCAACTTCACCCACCGCTATAAGGCTCACAAAACTTCCACCACGTGAGCTGTGCCACTGAGGCCTCCCACATGGTGCTCTGCCACGTGGGCTAGACAGCCTGACAGGCCTACTCAGATCTCAAGGTTCCACCTTTCCTGATACCGGACTGCATAAGCCCTCAAACACACACCAGCATATTGATCGGTAAGGAGCTTTCAATTGGCGGGAGGGATCCTAAATGGCCAGATAGGGTTTGGCCAGCCTTCCCTAAGTTGAGGGGTTGGCATTTCAATGCTCCAGTCCATATGACTGGCCTCCTGGCTAACCTATGACTTAGGACTTTGGTTGCTTTAGGTGACTCCCCTCCCATAGCCTCCCCCACCCCCACCCCCCAAGCTCTTGCAGCAGCCGAAAAATCCTGGTACCATGTTGAACTGCTTTCTGGCGATCTCCAGGAGTTTGCTGAGGCCCCTAGATATTCTCGTGACGACCTGACATTTAGGCTGCTGGCCTGATTCGTTACCTACTTTTCTTTTGGGATAAGGATACAAATAGCTGGGTAACAGCCCCCCCATCACCCAATAGGTGCTACATTGTCTTCGACTGTACCCCCAAACACCCCACCGGGTTGTCTCCTAAAAAACCTCAAATCTCTAAAATTAACGCCTGATTTGAGGCCTTCCAAATTGATACACCTCTGCAATAAGGTCTGGAATCGGTACCCTCTAGATAATGGTTTAAAATGACCACCTAATGGCACACTAGACCCAGTCATTTTAAAGGCTCTTCATACATACTGCCAGCAGTCTGGTAAATGGAAAGAGGTTCCCTATATCCAAGCATTCATCTACCTTCTCTCTAACCCCGCCATATGTTCTGCCTGCTCCCCACCCCAGGTTCTTCTAGCCAAGAAACCTACTCAACTACCATTAGATGACATTACACCCTTAGATCCAGCTGATGAACCTCCTCCCTTCCATTGCAGACCTGTTTCCATGCCGCCAAAAACCTAAACTGCTGCCTCGGTTTCTTCTCACCAGGATACCTAAGAGTCTATTAGCTCAACCTCTCCAGACCCCTCCCCTCCTTCTGTGCCAGCTGCAGGCCACTCTAATCAGCTTGCATTGGCACCAACCTTTACCCCACCTATCACGTGTTCTAAGGCCACAGCCAAACCCCCAATTCCTTCTCCTCCAGGGACACCTAAACCAGCATCTGTCCTTCCTCCAAGGGAAGTGGCTGGGGTTGACAGTCTGGTCAGAGTACATGTTCCTTTCTCACTAAGTGAACTTTCTCAAATAGAGAGCAGACTGGGTTCCTATACATCTAACTCCTCCACCTTTATTAAAGAGTTCCAGTACATCACTCAGTCTTATAGCTTGACTTTCCATGATGTTCATATGATTCTCACTAACAATTTACTTCCTGATGATCTCAAGTGAGTTTGGGAAGAGGCAAAAAATGCACACAGATCAGATTCATCAAACAGACAGAACATATCCAATTGGATCTGAGGCAGTTCCTGACCAAGATTCTCAATGGAATTATAATTCTGCAGGCAGTATCTTAGCTAGAGATAGGTTTAAAACATGTCTTTTGACAGGCCTAAGAAAGGCAGCCTTAAAGACAGTAAACTTTGAGAAACCCCAAGAGGTTGTCCAGGACAAATAGGAAAACCCGTCTCAATTTTTAGAATGCCTTACAAACGCTTTATTGCAGTATACTAATCTGGACCCTGAAAACCCAGAAGGTAAGCAACTTCTGATGACCTACTTTTTTTTCTCAGAACTATCCTGACATTAAAGCTAAACTTAGGCGATTGGAAAGGGGGCCCCTAACTCCACAGGCAGAAGTCTTGTCATTGGCCTTCAAGGTGTACCAGGAGAGAGGTGAGAAAGCCTGGAAACAGAAATATCACTTGCTGGCAAAGGCTATCAGACCAGCCTCAGCCACTACTCCAGACTCGTGGTCTTTGAAGGCTCAGGGACCACCAGGCCCCTGCTATAAATGTGGTCAACATGGTCATTGGGCAAAGGCTTGCCCCAACCCCAGCAAGCCAAGGGGACCATGTCCTAGGTGCCATCAGAGGGGACATTGGGCTGTCGATTGCCCTCATGTCACTCAGAACAGAGGGACATCACTCCCAGATGTCCTTCAGCTGACCTTCTAGGATTGGCTATGGAGGACTGATGGGCCTGAACTCTCTTGACCCAACCACGCCTATCACTAGCAGGGAGCCCCAGGTAGATATTATGGTATGTGGAAGGCCCATCTTCTTTCTCTTGAACACTGGGGCCACTTACTCGGTCCTGACGGAGTTTTGGGGGCCCACCTCACCTTCGTGTTTTCCTATTGTCGGGTAGGAGGACAACCTTAGCTTCCTCACCAGACCCCCTCACTTAGTTGCATTTTTAGGGGTGTACCTCTGATCCATTCCTTTTTGGTAGTGCTTACATGTCTTGTCCCCTTATTGGGAAGGGATATTTTAGCTAAGTTGGGAGCCTCTATTTCCTTTGCTCCCCCGATTTGCCTAAACCCAAGCTCGCCAGCAGCTCCTCTGCTCCTCCTTCTAGCCAGTCAACCTACTAACACTAACAAGTTATTTTCCTTACCAGCTTCTCAGGTGGTAACAACAAAAAGTGAAAAACATCATTTTATCAAGAGACGATTATCATACTCTAGTGACAAAGAATAGAAATCACTGATTGTCAGGACAGAAATCCAAAATAAGAATTCATGAGAAAAACCAGAAAATCAATAATACAATAGGAAGCAACACTGAAATTCTGGAGCTTAATAGTTCAAGTGAATGAAACTGACCCTGCAATAGAGAGACTCAATCAACAGGAGACACGATCAAGCAAAAAGTCTATCGACTTGAAGTCAGCTCACTTAAAAGAATTATACAAAAACCAACCAACCAACCAACAACAAAAACAAACAGTAAAAAACAAATACCCTAAAATACCTTACAAACAAACATGGAATCCATTTGTGTTGACCTAATACTTAGGGGCATGGGTCTTTTCTTAGAGTGTCATTAATATACCCAGTGACATGCCATTGGAAAAAGGTGATTTTTAATTTTTAAGGGAGAAGGCATGAAGTTGGGTGGGTAACAAGTAGTTGGTGAAGGGGAAAATATGATAAAAAAAAACTTTAAATGTTTTTAAAATAAAAAGATAAATGAATGAATACCATCACCTCTAAGTATCATGTCAAAGACAGAGGTCACGAAAAGAACAGTGTTTAGAAAATTAGTATACTTGATCTTCAACTACCCTAGCCTCATCCAGGACATCCACACCAGTGACAGCAGCACACACCTGGGGAGCACTGTTCTGGAAAGATCATCTACAGGGCCATAAGAGAGGTTCTAATAATGTATGAAGAGTGAAATGATATGAAATATCTTCTTAAACCACAAAGGTATGAAATTAGAAATCACCAAAAGAAAGTTTTGGAAAAAATTCAACAACATGGAAATTATACAACATTTTCCAAATCAATAAGCAAAGAAGAAATCAAAGGGAAGGTTTTGAAAACTGAAATGACAATGGATGCACACACCTCAGCATTCCACTCCGTACTCAGACAGTCTAAGAGGGGAGCACACACCTCAGCAAATTAGATCTCTAGATGGTCTAAGAGGGAAGCTTGACAGGACTACATTAAATAAAGAGACACTATCTCAAGTAAATAACTTAATACTTGGCCTCAGGGAAGTAGAAAAAATTTAAGTAAACCAAAAGTTATTAGAAGGGAAGAGAATGCTGATGAAAACAGAAAAACATCAAGTAGAACAAAAAGACCTTAGGAAAATGTAATGAATAATCTGAGTTGAGTTGTTCTTTGTCTCTGAGTTTCTCTCTCTCTCTCTCTCTCTCTCTCTCTCTCTCTCTCTCTCTCTTTCTCTCTCTCTCATTTTGGGGACAGGGTTTTACTATGTAGCCCTAGCTGTCATGGAACTTTCTATGTAAACCAGGCTGACCTAGAACTCACACAGGTCTTCTTGTCTCAGCCTTCTGAGTATTGGAACTAAAAGCATGTGCCCAGCTGCTCCAAGTTCTTGTCTTCAAAACAATTTGTAAGAAAATAAAGCCAACAGATTCATAGCCACTCTAACTTTTAAAAACAGAAGAGAATAACAATTCAAGCAAATTCAAGAATGAAAGAAGAGGCACAATAAAAAACAGTCATTAGAGACTATTATGAACAAGTATACCTAACTCATTATATAACTTAGAGGAAATACAAAAGTCATGCTAATGCAATTTTATAAAAACAACATAGGAAATCAAAATCTGGGGACAGATCATTTACAAAAAAGAGGGTTCAAAATAATAATAAAGGGGCTGGAGAGATGGCTCAGTGGTTAAGAGCACTGACCTCTTCCAGAGGTCCTGAGTTCAAATCCCAGCAACCAAATGGTGGCTCATAGCCATCTGTAATGGAATCCAACACCCTCTTCCGGTGTTTCTGAAGACAGCTACAATGTACTCATATACATAAAATAAATATATATCTTGAAAAATAATAATAATAAAACACTCTGAACACAGAATCTACCATACTTCCAGTACATTGCTTTCAATTCTTCTTAAACTCTTTCAAAAAATATTACAAGAACATATAGTCAGGGCATATTTTATTAGGCCAGGACTATTATCTACCACTGACTTATGAACAGGGACAAGAATCAATTGTTGGGAGAGTGAGACCCACAAAATCAACACTGACAGGAGGTTTGTTGATGTCTTCTGTGTGCCTAGATTAGCTTGAGTAAAGCCATGATATCCCTGATCACACTGGTTTCTCCCATGGCTCTCTCTTTTATTATTGAACATTTTTAACATCAATCAAAAATCTAATTTTCATCCTTTAAAGGTAGAAAGAGGCTACGGCAGTCATGTGCTCCTGTCACTCCAGAGACTTGTGGGTGGGGTGGGGGCTGACTGAAGAGCTGGAGACCAGTCTGGGCAACACAAAAGATATCCTCTCTCCCAGAAACCTTAGAAAAGCTGGCACTTTTAGGAGAATCTTCAGATGTGTCATTTGAGCATGCTTCATGGTATTTAATTTTCCCATCTTCAAATACCCCTTCCTGTTGGAACTGAACCCGAGGCTTGAAAAGTACCCTACTGTTGAACTAAGTCACAAATGTCTAAAAAAAAATTCTATGAATCTTACTGAGTTGCCCATAATGACCATCGATTTATAATCCTCCTGCCTCCTTTGTAGCTGGAATCTCAAGCTGGGCTAAAGTCTATGTTGGTTTGGAGAAAATGTCGCAAGGGGAAGGAAGTAACTGCAGTCATTCCCAGGCTTGGAGCTATCAAACAGGGTCAGTGACTAAATAACAGGCACAGCCTCTAGTACTAAACAGAGAAAACTCCAGGTCTCTTAGAATAGTGGTTTTCAACCTTCCTAACGCTACAACTCTAATATAGTTCGTGTTGCAGTGACCCCCAACCATAAAATTGTGATCGTTGCTACCTCATAACTATATTTTTGCTACTGTTATCAATCATGATATAAATAGATGATATGTGAAATATCTGCTGTGCAACTCTTATGAAAATGTCATTCAAATCCCAAAAGGGTCGCGATCCATAGGTTGAGAACCATTGCCCTAGAGTATGCGGAAGTATCACTTTATCAAACAAAAACACATTAAAAACCAGAGGCCCTGATCTAGTTTGCTGTCAGGAAAGGGACTATTTGTCTTAGAAAACAACTTTCTGGATCTCTTTGACAAGGTACAATTCAAAATTACAATTATGAAATGCTAGGAGGAGACTCAATCTGGATAAAAGACATCTTTAAAGTAGTCTTTTTTTTTTTTAATTGAGGAGGCACCTCCCTCAAGCTTCTCCATTTGCATTTTCAGCCTGAGGCCGGCAGCCCCTCCCCCCACCCCTTTTTTACACGATAAACTCACCCAAGCAAAAGCATTGTTTTCCTTCCAAAGTCCTCAAAACTCTGCCTCTTAAAACTGCTCAACCCGTTACCAGACACTGTAAAGTTGTAAATCACGGAGAATTAACTCACCAAACCAGAACTTCCAGATATTTTCGACTCCGAGCTAGAGAAACGAAACTTTGAGGGCTGAAAATGAAACAGAAACCACAACTCTACAGACCAATGAGATGCCTCCTCATAAGTCTGCAGCCACAAGCTGAGGAAGATAAGCTTTGGCTGTCTCTCTGAAGACAGAATGGGGAGGAGTCAAGTGCAGAGCCTTGCAGTAACCTCACCACACTCCCAGCAGGTAGAGTAGTGAGCTGCAGAGGGCAGTCCAGCTGCCCCATGGTCTCCTGCAGATTATGTATTCTGTGGCTGAACAGACCTAGTCCTTTCACAGTGCGGATCTGAGCCATCCATTCATTTCCTCCCTTCCAGGAGTCCCTCACCAGAACATCTTGGAGGTCTGTATTTGACTTAAAGGTCTATTGAACACCTGTATAGTGACTCCACATTACTAGACTTCGAAGGGGAAATCTGTAGGGCTGAGAATGAGGTTCAGTTAAAACAGTGCTTACCTATCAAGCATGGGGCACTGGGATGGTCCTCAGAAGTGTACAAAACCGGGGGGTGCGGGGGGGGGGTGGCCCCTGCATGTAATCTGTTTTAGTTACTCTTCTATAACACCATGATAAACACCATGACTGGGACAAGTTATAAGGAGAGTGTTTGATTCCGGGCTCACAGTTCTAATGAGTTAGAGTTCATGACCACCACACTGGGGAGCATGGCAGCAGGCAGGGAGACATGGTACTGGAGCAGGAAGTGAGAAGTCACAACTTGAGACACAAACTTAACACAAACCTGAGGCAGAGAGAGAATGGAGGTGGTGGTCAGAATCTATTGAGTCCTGAAAGCTGGCAACCCTGCCATATCTTCTCTAATAATGCCACACCTCCTAACCTTTCCTGAACAGTGTCCCGCTAACTGAGAACCAAGTATTCAAAGATATTAGCCTCTGGGGCCATTCTTATTCAAACCATCACAGGATCCCCCTTCTTTGCAGCTGACTGCAGGAGGATCAGGAGCTCAAAGGCCATTCTCAGCCATGGTGACTGACATCAGGACAGCATGGGAAATACATAAAATTGTCAAAGAGAGAAAAGGAAGAAAGAAAGAAAGAAAGAAAGAAAGAAAGAAAGAAAGAAAGAAAGAAAGAAAGAAAGAGAGGGGGGAGGGAGGGGAGAGGAAGGAAGAAAGGAGGAAAGAAAAGGAGAAAGAAAGAAAGAAAGAAAGAAAGAAAGAAAGAAAGAGAAAGAGTTAATTAGAGAAAGAAAGTTGGTTGAGTGAGGGAACAATAGAGAAGCCTGTGTAGTCACCATCACCTCTCATCCCCACCCTGTTTGCTTCTCTCATTATTTCCCTACATTCCCAGGTCCACTGAAATGTGGCATGGTGAGTGACAGCAGATATGACCCTGTAGTTTGAATTTATTTCACATATTTGATGTTCTTTCTTTTTCCTTCTCCTCTTCTTCCTTTGAAACATGCTTTCATGTATACCCCAGCCTGACCCCAACTGAGATCTAGCTCCCTCAGCCTCCCCAGTGCTGGGATCACGGACTTTTGCTGTTGTTGTTTAATTTGGTCTTTGACTTTTAGGGATTGAACTCTAGTCCTTGTGGATGCTGGGCTAGTGCTCCATCCCTAGCTATAATCCTAGACTAAACTACACATCTGCATGAAGTCATGAGCCTCTACTGTTGTTCTTGCTGTGGACACAATTGCTGACAAACAATATTTTGATGTTCCCATCCTTATGAAATGTCAATAGTTATGTAAAACCCTCTTACAACTTTTTTCTTTTTCTTTCTTTCTTTCTTTCTTTCTTTCTTTCTTTCTTTCTTTCTTTCTTTTTTTTTTTGAGGCAGGGATTTACTCTATATTCAAGCCTGGGCTAGAACTAAGTATTCAGTATAGTCTCCAACTCCTGGGAATACTTCTTCCTCAAGTTCTTGAGTTCAGGGATGAGAGGCAAGAGCTACCATGTCTCTGTCTTTTCTACATTTTACTCAAGGCCTTCTCTGTTTCTTCCTAAGGCCTGTTTCGGAATTAAAACTATAAAATACCCAGACTATGAACTAGCTCTTCATGAGCTTTCTCTGCAGGCAGAATTCCACTCTCAACTCTTTGCAAAGATTAGACTTTACCTTTAGGTCTTCCATCACCCTCTGACCTCAATGCGAAGGATGAAAGTGACCAGGTGAGCACAGCACTGGCCACACTGTCACTGAGCAATGCCACTGTGTGTGTGATTCTAACTGTGTGCAATACACATTGACACTTATTTCTAACAGAGGAAAGAAATCCATGGAACACAATTATGGAAGAATTATTAAGTATAAGAATCCTGGAGACTTATGAACTTAACTGCTTATTTTTTATTAAATATAAATATAGATTTATATTTTGATAACAGTAAAAACATCTGTGAATTTATACTCCATGTATTCTTATTCTTAAAACAAAGCAAGGTGACTGTTTTGAAGGGGCTGCTACATACTCTGCCAGCATGTGATGCTAGAATCTGGATTGTGCTTTCTGCCCCGTACGTGCTCCCTCTACTCCTCTCACAGAGACAGCTGTTCTAAGGGGACTGAGTCTTCAGCAGCTGCCTTGCAGGAGCCACACTAACCTAAGTGAATTTCCATGAGAGGGTGTCCTGTCTTGTGTCACCTGGCTGCTCTGAGTCTTTCCTGGACATCAGAGAGCCTGGCTGCAGGATCTTGCTGTGAACTCACCGCCAATCCCCATCCCCATGCTAAAAGGTAAAAGAAGAGGCTTGCTTTTCTGTCACAGGGACCCTGATGCTCTACCAAGATCCCTCTATCCAGTCTTCTCTGGTGCTGTGGCCTCAACTTTCCTGGGAATCACAACATAGGATGTGTCCTCTTTGTCTCTGTCTGTTTATGGCAATATGAGTCTTCAAATAAACTCCGATTCCCCAGTAATCTTTCTCATTGTCTTCTTGAACCTCCACGCTTATCTAAAACCTAGCAATTCTGCTTTAAAAGTGTTGAATTTTGGTCTGTTGCTCTGAATTATAAACTTCAACATAAAAGCAAACCAAGCCAAACCAAAGTAAAGTCTTCCTGTGTAACGTGCCTGACCTCAGATGCACAGAAATCTACCTGTCTTTGCCTCCTGAGTGCTGGGATTGCATTAAAACCATCATGACAGGATCTATTAATCTCAATTATACTTTATTATAGCCACGTCGAAAGGAAGACAAAACAGATATCACATTGGATTCAGCTTAGATTCCAGAAAACAGGTCCTAGAAACATTCTATTATTTACATTTCACAACACAACAGACGGGAAGATTATTGGTATCATTATCATCACTATCATTCACTGTAAAATGGAAAATCATAGAATTTAACTTATTGATAAAATGTAACTAAACAACAAATACCCTCTCAAAAAATAAGTGTGAGATCAAAAAAGTTAATTCACAGATATCTACAAAATATTAGAGTAGCCTTAATGGCAGTTCTCAGGACCTAACAGTAAGACATGAGGAGGGTTCCATCTTAGTTCTCCCAGACACCCAGTGCTGTATGGAGCACCAGTATAGCACATCTCACCAGTAATTAGAACAAATATCAACTACTGAGTGTACAGTGGATGCTTCATGCATACTGAACTTCTCTTACTAAAAATTACATAATTCATTTTCCATTTATGTATGTGTTTAGTCCTGTGTGTCCTGTAGCATGTGTATGGAGGCATAGAATAATCTGTAAGAGTTGGCTGCCTCCTTCTATCTTGTGGGTCTGAATGACTGAACACAAGTCATCAGACTTGAAGAAAAGGGTTTTTATGCTTGGAGCCTTCTAAAGATCCCAGATTTATTTTCTTGAAATGACCTACTGTGTAGGTGCACTATTTACTCCAAAATTGTAAAACAAAAGGGGAGGAGGGGAGGTAGGGAGCAGCTTTACAGGATGTTGTTCGAGGTAACACTGCTATGTGCAGAGTTAGGTCATGTGATGTTTTTCTCGAAACTGTCTTATGAGAGGATGTTTATGCTGAAGCAGACACATGGGAAGATGTTTTGCTGAGAACAGACACATGGTGGTTTTCTGGAAGCTGCCTGAAAAAAGGGCATGTAGTGTTTTGCTGGAGACGATATTTGGGAAGATGCATAATGTTTGGAAAGGGTATAAGTATAACCTAACAGACAGTGGACATCTGTGGCACTGGTTTGCCTTGTGACTCTTTGCTGGTCTTTGCTGGTCTTAGGGCGATTGGCAGAGACTCACCATTTCTTCTGGATTGAACTGCCATTGCTGATTTGGAATGGTGTTTGCAAGTGGATTGAGCTACCACTGTTGATTTCTGTGATTTGAACTGCTGATATCCAGACAGCACAGACTAGATTCACCTCAAAGAAGTATTTCTAAACAGGTCCACATCCTCCTGTGCTCTGTTAACATTTCCTTTTCATACTCTGGGGGGCGATGGGCTAGAGGGGATTTTAAAGCATTTAAGAACCCACTTTAGGTTTGAAAAGTCTAAGCCTACAAAACAGCCTTAATGGGTACCATTTGAAATACTTCCTTCCTATTTGATGAAGCACAAGCATTGTCGCTAAACTGACCTTCTGGTAAGGGTCCATTCCTTAGATATAGACACCTACATATCATTTTCAAAACTACTAGACAAGCTGGAGAAGCACTTTCTTTTATCTTTTCTTAGGGACAGAAAGAATGGGGTTGTGGAGACCTGGCAAAGCTGAGGCAAGAAGCTCCATGATGGAGCATCTTCTCAGCATGCATGAGGACCTGGATTCTATATTTGGCACCACAAACTAGGTAGATCTATCAGAAAGAACTAAGGTTTGAAGACTTTAAAGAATGGGGCAGAATATAGTCTAATGCTGCAGACTTTGCTTCAGTTTCAGTGTACTTTTATATACAAATATTTTTAAAAAGCAACAATTCAAGAAATGTTATTTGAGTTTAGAAAGACATGTAAATACATGCTAGTAAGTATACACTAAATATTAACAGAGCAGCCCTTCCCAGAACTTTCTCAAGACAGAAAAATTTAAATACAATTGACTGAGATTTACTATAGGTTATGTCTGGTAAATCATGAAAGCAAGACACAAGGCCATATCCAGATTCAGGAT